TTGCGTTAATTGTTTACACAAGAAGACAATTTGTATATGTTTTTTTTACAAGAATCAAAATATTTACAAAAAAAAAAGAAACAGAAAATACAAAATGGATTGCATGGTTCAATTGTTCACCAAAAGAAAAATATATGGTCTTGTTTTGTTTTGTTTTGTTTTGTTTCAGTAGTGAATCATTTGTCGATAATTAATGAATGTAAATGTGAATAGAGTTTTCCGATTTATCGATATATACTCCAAGTTTTACTTTCGCATTTTTTTTACCCTTATTCTATACAATCTATTCAGCTATTTAACATGATCAAAATATGACAAAATGATTCATTGATTTATAATAAACATTGTGAATGATCTTTTTTTTTGAATCGATGTTGTTGGTCGGTTAGATGTTGATGATCTGCAACAACAACAACAACTGTTTACTAATTGCCTTTTTTGTTTTGTTGTTGTTGTTGAATCTTTTATGGATTCTTGCTCTTTTGCTCATTCAAATCAGAAAATTTCAGGTTTTATCATCATCACCGGAAAAAAATCAAGCAAACCAAACAACAACAAAAACTAATCTTGTTCGATGCAGATGTGAAAATTTGTTGTTTTTACATTATACCGTTTACCATCTCACAGACCCATGGATAAAATCCATTGGGAATACTTTCCGCTATAAAACAAGAAAATGATGAAAGAAAGAAATTTGGTTTTGAATTGTTGACGTAGAAATATACAATATGAGAATATCCTCCGCATATAATTTTTCAATATTTGATTCATTATTCATTAATTTATTGTAACTAATTTTGTTTTTTTTGCAATTTTTTAAAGATAATCGACAACGAAGATTTATTGTGAATGAAGCAAAAAATAATGGTCGTAATGGTGGTGGTGGTGGACAATATCAAAGACGATTACAATCACCATCATCATCGATGACAACTTCAACAACGACAACAACAACATCAACAACAATAATGAATCGTTGTTCACCAAAAACATTTGAAACATGTTTATCAATGATGCAAGAAGTAATGGAAAATTCATCATTAGCATTTCCAATCAATTCAAAAGATTTAGATATTACATGCCGGTATGTATATTTTCAATCGATTGATTGATTTATCATTTTCATTTTCTTTTTTTCAATTAATGAAAAAAAAATCAAATCAAATCAACATTGAAACAAACAAACAAACAGGAAATTAAAATCGGGAGATTATTGTGCCGAAAAATATATACGTTCTTGTGCCGGTAATCGACAACGACATCTTTATCAGGATATTGTACAAGGATCGAAAAATGTTATCCGATTATTATGTCAACAAGGTCGTACACAGCAATGTAAGTTTTTTATTTTTTTTCATTGAAAATGAAAATTGAAATCCAAAAATAACAAAAAAAAAACAAAACAAAACAAAAACTCATTACGATTACACGCTGTGATGATGATGATGATAATGTTTGTGAAGTTAATTTCCAAATGAAGAAAAAAAACATTCAAAAATCTTAAATATGAAAATTCTTAAAACAAAAAAAAATCTTGAATAAAGAAAATTTTGAATAGATGAAAATCATCCAATGAAACTGTCATTTAATTTTGATGATTATTGTCGAATATCCACACATAGAATATCCAAGAAAAAAAAACATTTTATTCTTACTTTCACAACATTGAAAATGAAACGTGAAATACGTGAATCATTTCTTCTTTTTTTTCTACTATTTCTACTCAATGTATCTTCTCTTAAAAATAAAGAAGAAAATCACACATAATCTTCATTATTATTATTATTATTATTAGTTTATTTTTCCTATTTACACACACTTCCACTTTCCACTGTGTGTGTGTCCAAACATTTTCAAGAATGTTTTTCTTTTTTCGTTTGGCGAATAAAATGATGATGATCATCATCATGGATAATCTTCAACCACATTCCAAAATATTATTATTATTATCATCACCAATTTCAAGGGAGAGAGAGAGAGAGAGAAAGTAAGAAAAAAATGATATTACATTATTCAATTTTATGTTTGTTTATAATAAACTTCTGAATGAATTACAATTACATTAGTGTAAAAACAAAGCCAAAACTATCAAAATCGATATGTGATGAAAATGTATGATATTGTGTGTGATTTGAAACAAAAAAAGAAAAAAAAACAAATTCAATTTTTAAATTTTTATCACTTTAAATTCATTATCAATATTTATTTATCGATTTGTGATCATCAAATTGATTTGTATCATCACGATGATGATGATGTGATGATAATGTTTTATTTTTTTTCAACATTCCGATATAAAATTTGAATGAATTTCTTCGTTGATCATCATCATCATCATCATCATAATATTATTATTATTGATTATATAGAAGATTGCGCTATATAATTTTATTTTTCCGGAAATTTTTTTTTCCTGTTTGTTTGTTGTTGTTGTTTTCTTCACACCGAAAATAAAAACAAACAAACAAAAAACATTGCAATCAAATACACCCATCACCGATAGAGAAAAACACATATGAGAATCACACACACACACCCATATGAATGAATATTCTCATCATATTGATGACATTCTTTTACATGACATCCATACAGATGATTATGATGATTATTATTGTCATGTTATCAAGGAAAACTTTTTTATTTCATTCAATTTATTTATCAATATTGTGATATTTTTTTTTCTCTCTCTCTTCCTCTGCAACATCACTTTGATCATCATCATTGATCCCGTAGGGATCATCATATAACAATCATAATCAACCAACCAAACAAACAAACAAATAAATAAACGGTAATCAATCGACCGTAATCTTTTTTTCTTTTACCGATATTTTTTTGTTTGTTTGTTTGTTTGTCGATCAATTTTCCATTTTTTTTATGTTTGCGTTTGGTTTTGGTTTTACATTTTCATTCAAAAGTGATGATTTTTGTTGAAATTTTTCAATTTTTTGTTTCCATTTCTTTCATGTGATGACATTGAAACATCATCATATTTATGGAAATGAAATTGATTTTTTCCATCATCATCGTTTTGATATACAGGAAATGTAAATTGATTTTTTCTTTCTTTGATTTAAAGAAAATTTGTCCCAGTTTGATAATGTCATTTTTATAAATATTGTTTTTTTTTTGTTTGAAAAATTTTCTTTGCAAAACAAAAAATGAAAATTCAAACATTCTATTTACAGAATCTTTTTTCTGGTTACATAAATCTTTTAGTTGCTGGTTGTTTTTCATCATCATCATCATTTTGGTTTTCACCCTTACACCAAAATGTGATGTATATATTCTTCTTAGGTGGGGTAAGAATAAGAATGGGGGAAAAAAAGTTTCTATTCGTTTGGTTTTCTTTTCAACCATCCAGCCATTCATCCATTCTTACGAAAAAAAATGGATAAAACTTTTTTTCCAGTTTTCAGAATATTTATTTGTTTTTTTTTGCAAACAACTGGTAAAAAAAACCCGGTACCCGAAAATTCAACGAAGAAAAAAAAATGAATGAATGAATGAAAAAACAAAACGTCAACATTTGATGAAACATTGACTGCTGTTGTTGTTGGTGATACCAACGAACCCAGCACGTACTATTCACATAAATCCCATTTTTTTTAGGTTAAAGAAAACTTTTTTTTTCGTTAACCGAAGAAAAGAAAAAAGATTATTTGTTCATGATATGACACACGAACACACAGAGAAGAATGAACACCGATCATCATGTTTTTTTGAAAGTTTTGCCATTTGTTTCAAAACAAAAAATAAATAAATAAATAAATCTTTCAATAAATTTTAAATTTAAAATAATAATAAATTTTTTGTTTTCTGTTTTCCGTTTTCCTTTAAAATTTGACAGTATATCTACAATACGCTCCATGTTTAAAAGATATATCAATATCATCGCAAAAATGTTTGACAGTTGTTAGACGTTTTCAATCCATATCAAAAATGATGTCCGAAAATGAACAACAACAACAACAACAACCAGAACCGATAAATCGACAAAAAAATGATAATGATTTACGTTTATTAAAATTTTGCTGTGCATATCAGGAAAGTGTTGATTGTCAATTACAGAATGTAAGAAAATATTGTGGCCAAGAAGGTTTACGTTTTTTTGAACATTATATGTCTGAAATGACAAATTCATTGATTAATCAACATTGTGCTGGTTATACATATAGTGATAAATGTAAACGTTTACGTCGTCGACCACATAATCATAATCATAATAATAATCATCAACATCGTGGATCATTGGATCATCATCAATCACATCAAAAATCAAATCACCACCAACACCAACAACAACAACAACAACAACAATTGAATCCAAATAGAAAATTTATCTATTTTAATAATTCAACATTTGATCGTCATTTAAATTATAATTCAAATCAACATAATAATGAAGAAGATTATGATGATGATATTGATAATTATTATGATAATATTGATAATGACGATGATGATTCGGACAATCAAAATGATGGAGATCGATCATCAATCGATTCTGATTCTAATGATTATCATAATTCAATATTATCAACAAATGGATCGATTATTTTGTTCGATTCAATCAGAATTAATTTGTTAATCATTTTATTGATCATTATTATGGCTGATCAATGATAAATCATGACATGAGACTTTTTTGAAAATATTCAGATTATTGATTAGCAATGAAAAATTAATTTGATAATTTCAAAGTTTCAAAAAAAAAAATTAATCTTTTTACAAATATATTTTACAGGTCCACTTGCGAATATTTTTTGGACATCCATTTTCTGTTTGTTTGTAGATAAATATTTTTTTGTTTGTTTTTTACATAGCTGATTGATTTAGATTGATTGATTGCAAAAAAAAATTTGTAGAAATTTGGAATATTAAACAAAACAAAACAAAATTCTATGAATAAAATAATTTGGATTTTAAAAAAAACGATTCCCCCGTGTCGCCATCTAATGTTTGAAAATCAAAAAAGAAAACTTATGTTTAGTTTTTTTTTGAGTTATTCCAAGAATCCTGTGTATATGAATCACATGTGATTCCTGAATACCGATCAACATAATGTTTTTCAAAACAAATTGGTTACCAAGATTAACATCGCGTAATTGTTTGTTATATAAATCATTATTTATTAAGAATTCTTTTATTCGATCATCATCATCACAATCAAATCACAATGAATCTAATAATGAATCATTATTACTTAAAGAGATTGTTAAACAAATTCAATTTACCGGGCCATTAACCGTTAATGATTATATGCGTTTAGCATTAACACATCCAAAATATGGTTTCTATATGCGTCAAGATGTTTTTGGTGAAAAAGGACATTTTATTACATCTCCGGAAATATCGCAAATATTTGGTGAGGTAAGGTAATTTATTTAAATAAAATATGTCGATAGAAAAAGAATGAATTAAAATCTTTTTTTTGAATTTTTTTGTCTAAAATTATTAAGCTAATTGCTATATGGATAATGTATCAATGGCAACAATATTCAAATGCTCGACAATTAGATATTATTGAATTAGGACCAGGACGTGGTACATTATCTGCAGATATTGCCCGTTCAATGGCACAATTTAATCAGACACGTCAATCATTAAATGATTTTCATTTACATTTGATTGAAATTTCACCATTTCTTCAATCGATTCAACATCGAAATCTTTGTGATAATGAAAAGTATATCATTGATAATAATAATCGGAAATCATCGAAAACCAAATATGGTCAATCGATTCATTGGTATCAATCAATCGATCAATTGAATCAATCAAAACGACAATCGAATCGTTTTCCAATATTCATTGCCAATGAATTTTTCGATGCATTTCCTATACATAAATTTATTGTAAGTAAATTCAAATTTTTCTTATCTTTTAAATCATCATTCAATTTGTTATTCATTAAAATGTTCAGAAAAATTCAAAACAACAAAAATGGAATGAACTATTAATTGATTATGATGAACAAAATCGACGATTACGTTGGATACAGGCACGAAATGAAACACCGATGATAAAATTATTATCATTAAATGGTCATTTTGATCGTTATTCATCATCAAATGTTGAACATATTGAATATAGTCCAACTATATTTGTAACTATCGATAAAATTATTGATTATATTGAACAACAATCAATAGAAAATGATAATAATGATGATATATCTGGCTGTATTTTAATATGTGATTATGGTTTTGATGATGATAATAAGGATAATCATCAAAAAGATCGTGATACATTTCGTGCATATTATCAACATAAACAATGTGATCCATTATTGAATCCAGGTATGGCTGATTTAACAGCTGATGTTGATTTTGCCTCTATTCGCCATCATGTTTTAAATCGACCAAAACGGATGATGAACAAAATGATACATTGTTTCGGTGCAATTGAACAGCGGCAATTTCTTTCGCAAATGGGAATTGGATTTCGTTTAAAAGTCTGTACTGTCAATTTAATCATTAATTTTTTATCTAATTTCTTTCAATGTTTTTTTTCTTCAATATACAGCAACTGTTACAACAACAACAATCATTCAATAACAATCAACATCCGGATAATAAAAATTATTCCAACATACAAAAAGAATTAATTAGCTCTGCACGAATATTAATGGATGAAATGGAAATGGGAATTAGATTTAAATTTATGGCCATTTTTATCGGTAACGAAAAGATAAAAATTGAAAAACCGGTCGGATTTTTGGCCAACGAATGAATTGAATTGAATTTGATTTCATGTTGTGTGTGTGAATAACTGAGCGAAGCTCAAAACACATCACCATTGTTGATTTAAGTCTATTCAATTTTTTTTTGTCATTCAAATAATAAATATTTCTGAATAACTTAAGGTTTATTTATGTGTGTGATGAATGACTTTAAGTCCATTTATAATGGTCATTTTTTTCAAAAGAAATAAAGAAAGGAAGGAAAAAAATAGATCAAATCTTTCATTGGTGGGCTTAACCATTAATGACTTTTTCATCTAGAGTTTTGTTTATCTAAAGGCTGTTGTTAATTTTCAATTTTCAACATTCATCAACTGAATCTTGGACTTGGAAAAAAATCCTAAAACAAATTTCAATAATCCAATACACATTCATTACGCAAAGCTAAGATTGAATCAATGAAATGAATGAATGAATGAAAAAAAAACTGAAAACCAGTTGATTCGAAACCAAGCAGTTTTGACCGGAAAAAAATATGATTGAAGAGAATGAGAATTTTTTTGAATAAAAAAAAATTCATTGACTTATGATGATGTAAAGCAATGTGAATGGACCATTGAATTTTTTTTTTCTTTGCCTCTATTCCGAATTTACAAACATACACACACGATTTGCCTTGCCCATTATTCTCATACGATGTTATTTTTTTTGTTGTTGTTTAGTGTGTATGTATGGTAAATTTTCTCTACTTTGTTTTCTTATATTGTCTATTTTTTTTATATATCTGAACATCATTCATTCACACACACACACATGGTTGGCCCCAATTAGGTAAAAAGAAAAATACCTACGATACGAGATTGTATCCTTGATCTAATGATGATGATGATGATGATGTTGATAATGGTGTCGGCATCTTCAATCTAATGACTTGTTGTTGTTGTTCTATATATTTCGGTATCTTTTTTTCACCAATATTTCTCATCATCATCATCCACTATATGTTTGAAATCAAAAATTTCAAACCAAATTGATGTTTGTTTGGTTGTTTAGAGCAAAACAAAAAAACAGACAAGAACTGCATTTTCAAACATCCAGGTAAAAAAAAGAGAAAATGAAAACAAGTTTTTCATCATCATCATCATCGTCATTGACCGAAGGCAAATTAATTGATGAAAAAAAACCTTCGATACCTTTTCGATTTTGATTTGGCTAGTTTGTTTTCTGCATACTTCATTGCTTCTCCTTCTGGCCAATCGTAACCATGAAATCAAAAAAAAAAAAAAAATCTGTTTGACAGTTTTTTTTGGTTCCAGAAAAAAATTTCACACATTTTTCCCTCTTATTAACTCGATAGAATAAGATGTAAAAATGATCAATTCAAGGGTTATATATCGGTCTTTGTTTTTGTTAGTTTTCGTTGTTTTTAACACCAATCATGAGAAACTACAACAAAATTTTTATATTATGGCTACGCTTTTGTTGTTGTTACAAACATGAACAACAAAACCTGATCAAACAACTACGATTGATTGATTGTAGTTTGAAATCGGGCAAGAAAAAAATCAACCGTATTTTCGTATCGAGCAAAAAAAAAGAAAAATTATTGATCACCAATCAAGGAATCCATTCCAACAAACACTATTCGGATATAAGGTCATTATCATCATCAAAGTAGCAGTAGTAGTAGTAGTAGTAGTGAAAAAAAAATTCAACGCTACCCATGTTATCAATAAGTTTTGAAGATCGATTATGAAAAAAATGGACCGAAAATGGTAATAATAAAAAAAAATAAACAAAGTAAAAGGTAAACCACCATGACAACACCTCTGAATTTGTTCAATTTGGATTTTACATGTTTTTTTTCTTGCTACCATTACCGACACATTGCACATGCACAATCATAACAAAAAAGCAAACAAAAATCGATTCGAAATTTTTGATTAACAAGGATCAAAAAACCATTTCGTCGTTCAATATAATAATGGAGAATACATACTATGCTTGAACATACACATTCAAAGTATCAGAAAAAACTGTTCAACAAGTGGTGGTTGTGGTGGTTGTATATTGCCATCACGGTAAAAATACAACATTGAACGACTACGAACGAATAACGAAGCTATCAGTGTTTTGACTATTTGATGATGAAAAAAAAGCCTGATTGAATGGCTTGCCTGGCAATGCAACAAGTGTGTTGCCATCATTACAACAAACAACATAGATTCACTGTGTGGCCTTTCGTGTTCTGTTCTTTTCTTTTCTTCGAGTTTCGTTGTAAAAGATTTCTTTTTGGATTTCTAAAAAATTTATCATTTTTTTCAAAAAAAAATTAAATATTATTAAACAGCAGCTGAAAGTATTGATTTGTTTAGTATCATTTTCGATTTTTTTATATTGTTCAATTTAAATTTATTTTGGATCGATTAAAATATTTCTTTATGAATGATTCGATCAAATAAAAGAAATATTATCATCATCATTTTAAAAGAGAGAAAAATTTGCATCCAATTTATCATGTGTCATTCATTCATCAATGATTTTCATTGCAATAATAACCATCATCATCTTTGTTGTCGTCGTTTTACCATTTTCAAATGATAATAGTTTGATGATGATGATCATCATCATCGATAATATCGACAATAAAAAAAATAGAATGGCCATTCTTTTTAATGAATGATGACAATGCATATTATCATCGATTAATTTCGATCGATTGATTTCGTCAAATCGATATTTATCCAAATGAAATGTTAAATTCATTTTTTTTGACTGTTCAATAGTCATTCAAGTGCTTGTTTCTGTTTTTTTTGAAAAATTCTTTTTATTCCCTGATGATGTGATTTGATTGGAATTCTTTAACTTTAACAACAAACAATGATGATTCATCATCATTTCATTCAATAAATTCAGTGATTGTGTGTGTATGTGTGTGGGTGCAATCAACAACGATGATGATGATGTCAACAACAGTATCCATAACAAAACAGAAATGAAATTTGAAATTGTTATTTTCATTTTGAATTTGTGATAACCTTTTTTTATTAAATTATCGTTTATACCAAATATCATCATCATAATGTCACATAATCAACAGCAACAGAATTGTTGCTGGGGTGAAGTTATATTACTTGATGGTCGTAGTGTTGAAATATTGATCCAGGTATGTGATTTTTTGTTTTTTGTTTTTGTTTTTTTTAAATTTTAAAATTTTGTTTGTTTGTTGAATTTCGTCAACACCGTCAAAATCTAAAGCCACGTTTATTTGCTGGTGATCTATTCGATACGGTTGCATCACATTTTGATCTTAAAGAAAAAGAATATTTTGGTCTTGCATTTCTTGATGAAACGTATGTTATTATTTATCAAACAATTAATTAATTGATTAATTAAATTTTTTAAATTTTAAATTAGTGGTCAATATAATTGGCTAAATCTTGAAAAACGTGTACTAGAACATGAATATGCACAGTACACTTCGAATCATATTCGACAACAATCGCCGACGCCTTTTTCTATTCAATCCAATCAACAATCAACAAAAATTACGAATAAAAATAATAATGATAATCAACAAACACAAAAACATTGTTCAACATTAAATGAGATAAAATCAACAAAATTTAGACTAACAAAATCTAAATCACGATTACCAAATGTTGGTAAATTAAAGAGCTTGAAGAAAAATAAAAATTTGAAACATTTAACAAAAACAACAACAACAACAACAACACAGCCATCATCGTCAATGTCTTCATCGATAAATGTTGATAATAAAAGTAGACATTCCATACCTAATCATCATTATGATCATTTAATCAATACAAATTCATCATCGATGACAACGATAAAATCAGCCAATTCAACAAATGCATTAAGTGTCTGTATATCAGGTTCTTCGTTTGGATCACCAAATGATACATTATCATCACCATTACCACCACCATTGCCAACAATGCCACCACCTCCATTGCCATTAGTGTTAAATACACCGGAAATGATTGTCGTAAATCCATCGACAATAATCAAAACAAACATAACATCATTAATGAATGATAAAAATCAAAATAATAACGATGATGATGTTGATGATGATAACGATGATCCACTTTATGATGTTATCAATCATCAAAACAATAGCAATGATAATTGTGATATGATTAATGAAAATAAGCCAAATTCTCAAATATTTGATCATCATCATCATCATCATCAAGATGGTGGTGTCAATCAAATGATCAATGGTCATCGATCTATTGTTGTCGATAATGATAATGATGATGATGATGATGATAATAATAATAATGGTGATGATGTTGACCAAAATAACATCAACAATTATGATGTTGATGATGATGATGATAGTGATCACGAAGATTTAAACAATAATTTTCATCATCATCATAATGATGGATCGATAATCATCAACGATGATGATGATGATAATAATAATAATGTTGTGAATGATAATCAAAAAAATAATGTTCAACGACAACAACAACAACAACATTTTGTTCTATATTTTCTTGTCAAGTAAGTTTATTTTATTTTATTTATTTTGTAAAAAATATTTTGGATTTTTTATATTTTTCGGCAGATATTTTATCGAATCAATAACAATGTTACAGGATGTAAATACAATTGAATTATTCTATTTACAGGCCAAATCATTATTGACTAATGTAAGTTTTTAACAATGCGCATGTCTTTTTTTTTTTGTTTATTTGTTCAAAAATAATTTCCAAATTAGTTTTATTATTAGTAAATAATCATCAATTTGAATTTGTAATTAGAATGAAAAAAAAGGGGAAAAAAATTCATTGATACATTATTTTAGGTGTGGTTTTCCTATGATGATGATGATGATAATGCTTAGTCTATCCAATTTGATTTGATATTGGATTCAGTTCGATTCATTTTTACAACAAAAACAACAAAAAGAAAATTCCTGTCCTTTTTTACAAACAAACAACATGATCAATGTTTTTCGTTTGTTTGATTATTTGATCAATCGATTTGCCTAAATATTGATTGATTAACACTTATTTAAATGAATAAATAATACGTGTCAACTTGTGTTTCACACAAGATTTACAATTTTCTTTATAAGTTATCTTTTATCAATCCTTTCCAAACGAAAAATAAAACACCCAGTATTTCCTATTCAGTCGACGCCTACAGCCAAGATCGATTTTTAAAAAAATTTTCCTTAAATCACAAAAATTCTTTAAAAAAAATTTCATTTTTCGAAAATTCAATTTTCCAAATTAGATTTCTCTTTTTCACCTTTTGCATAATAATCACCGGAACAAATAAGCGTAGGTTTTATCGATTTCAACAACAACAACAAATCTTTGTTGTTGTTGTTGCATAATTCTTATTATTATATCGATATCTACAATAATCAAAGAAAAAATTTCTTATTATTGCTAGGTTAGCCAAACCTTTCGAAAAAAATACAACACCCCCGCACACACAAACAAAAAAAAACTTTTGCTTTTTTTTGCATCAAATCTTTGGTTTTGTTTTTGTTTTTTTTGCACTCTTGTTACGAATTGATTCGTTTTGACTTGAAACATGTTTTTTTCCTGCATTATTAGCTGCTTGTTATACATCCATCAGTTATTATATTGTTGTTTGAAACACCTCGAAAATAGATAATCAAAAATGTGTAGAAAAAAAGATTTTTTATTTTATTTTTGGTGATGTTAAATAATATTGTTTGAAAGTTAAAATATCATCATAATGATGCGAATGATTAGTATTATCATTTTATTTTTATTCTTGATAATGATGATGGTTATCTACTCAAATCCAACCTTATTTTCATATATTAAATCTTTTTCTTTTTCTTTTTTTTTGTTACATCACATTATCAAATGTGTAAGATTATCTTTGAATAATCGTGCATTTCATTTTCGTTCGTTCATTCGTTTTTGTTGATTATTGTTGTTGTTGTTGTTGTCTTCATCACCCTATATTTGATGAAAATGAATAAATTCAGATAATTATCATCATCATCATCATGATCAGTGTGTCAGTTTAAGCATAACATCGAAAAAAAATGATCGGTAATAAAGATGAAGAAGAAGAAAGAAAGAAAGAAAAAAAAATTAACGACAACCAACAAAAAAAAACACAATAGACCATAGAGATAACGAAAGAGAAAATCTTTTTTTGTTTGTTTGTTTGTTTGAAATGAATATAATGAAAATGTATATAATCACTACATTCTATGTCTGTTGTGTTGAAAGCATCTTATGTGTGTGTGGCAACTTCAGATCATCGATCGATCGATTAATCGATCCATTCAGGTTGTAACAAACAATAAATAAGTGTTCCAGGAACAACAACAACAACAAATTTCAATGTGTGTGTGTATGTGTATTTATGTTTGTGTGACATTTATTAGCTGATCAAATCAACTCTTATCTTACTACCTAATGTCAATATTTGAATTTAAGAAAAAATAAAATTGACAATATTGATGCGTGTTGTAAATAATAAAATCTGATCTAATTTCCGTTGATTAAACAAAACAAAACAAAAAAAATGTATGGTAAAGAAAGAAATCCTAAACCATCAACAAGTTTTTTTATAAAACATTTTTTTTGTGTTTATTTTTCTTCTTCTTCTTCTTATTTCTTTCCTTGTTCTGTTTATTTGGATTGTTTTGGCTGATTGATTGATTGATTGATTGCAGTGTTGATGTTGAATTTTTTTTTTTTGATTAAACAATTTTTCTCTTTTCCATGTTTGATTTTTTGGATGATGATGATGATATTACACTGGGCGTATGTGATTGTAAATGTATATATGTTTGCTATGTTGGATATCATCATTATTTGTTGTTATTTTGTATCCATAATAACATTGAATTTAGGTTATTCATCAAAAATATCATATTGTGTGTGTGTGTGATTAACAAGTGAAAAAAGTTTCAAAAAAATTCATTTCCGATTTTTTTTTGTTGAAAAATTTCATTGAATTTTTGTTTTTTTTAAAAAAATCAAACTTAAGGAAATTGTTCAAGTTGATCTACAAACTGGATTAAAATTATCGGCATTTATATTACAGGCAACTTATGGTGATTGTAACAAGTAAGTTGGTTTTTTTGTTTTGTTTCTTGATTTGGTTTTGGTTCAAATTGAATAAATTTTTTTCTAAATTCAATTAAAGTTTTAATGAAATTAAAATCCGTAATCGTATACATCGTCTTCAATTGATCTCATCGAATCTTTTGGCCGAATTAACATCCTATCAAATTTGGTAAGTTTTTGTTTATTTTTTTCAACATCCAAAACCAAAAAAAAAAAAAAAAAAATTTTTTCGATTACTCATCATCATGATTATCGGGATGATGATAGAAGNTATACATCGTCTTCAATTGATCTCATCGAATCTTTTGGCCGAATTAACATCCTATCAAATTTGGTAAGTTTTTTTTTTTTTTTTTCAACATCCAAAACCAAAAAAAAAAAAAAAAAAAAATTCTTTCGATTACTCATCATCATGATTATCGTGATGATGATAGAAGAAGAAATAAAAAGCTAAAAATAGTTGAAAAAAAAATTCATAAATTTTTTGTTTGTTTGTTATGAAATTGGGGAATCCACAAATAAACACAATTAGCATTTTGTTTTGTTTAAAATTTCTTTTTTTTTCATTTGAAATCAAATTAATAATAAGAAGAAAATTTAATTTATGTTTAAACATTACATTCGAATGATTTATTGACCATCATTTTTTTTTCTCTCTCTCTCTCTTTTTTCAAAATGATGACGATGATGATGGTAATGATTGGTATCATCACAGTGAGGATCGTATCATTGATGAATATAGACAATTATCAGGTCTTTCATATGGTGAATCAATATTTCGTTTTATGTGTTTGATTGAAAAACAACCAACGTATGGTGTTCATTTCTATGAGGTTAAAGTATGTTTTTCTAATTTTATTAATTAATTTTTATGAAAATAAATTCATTTTTTAAATATCAATTGAATCCACAAAACAAAAAACAAAGGATAAATCCAAACAACCATATTGGCTTGGTTTATCATTCAAAGGAATTGATCAATTTAGTTATGCTGATCGTCGTCTACCTCTAAAACAATTTGCCTGGAAACAATTGGAAAATTTATATTTTCGTGAATGTAAATTTTCTATTGAAGTTCGTGATCTTAAACGGTATGTTTTTCTATTTAAACTATATTTTAATTTTAAAGAATTCATTTTTTTGTTGTTATTATAAAGTGTTGTACATACATTAAGTTCGATTAATCTTTATGAGAATGCAATCGAAGATCCTGATACATTTGATGATTTATCCACTGCAATCTGTGATCCAACTACACAGTATGGACTTATTTTTTTTTAATTCTTCAAATCAGAATAGTAAATGACAAATTTTTTTTTGTTTGTTTCGATATATAGAGTTTCAGTAAGTCGACGTACATTTGGTCCATGTAATGTAACCGTATTTGTTTGGTTTGCATCAACATCATCATTAACTAAATGTATATGGTCAATGGCCATATCACAACATCAATTCTATATTGATCGTCATATTAACAAGGTAAACTTTTTTTTCAATGTTTTTTTCCCCTTTTCTAAAGATAAAATATTTTCATTTTTTCTATTCAATTTTTTTTATATAGTCGATAAAATATCAACAACGTGCCAAAGATGACATTGTACAATGTTTGAATGAAAATCATAATCGTCGTCGTAATCAAATAAAACAATTATGGTTTCAACAACAACAACAACAACGAAATAGTTATTGTAGTAATAATAGCATCAGAAATTCATTATATTCAACAACAACAACAACAGTATCATCTTCTATTGATCATTCAATGAATCAACAATCATCATTAACATTACCTCGTAATGTAACATTGGGATTCAATAATCATCATCAACAACAACATCAACAACGACAATATCGTTTAGGATCAAATGCAAAATCTACATCACAACATAACAATAATAATAATAATAATAAATCATCATCATTGATCTCATTGAATCATATTGTGCAACAACAAGATGTAAGCGGATGTTTATTAGATAATCGTCATCCATCATTGATTAACAATAATAACAACAACAATAAATTATTATCATCATCATCATCATCTAGCGGTGTATCGAGAACAAATTCTCAGACAACTATATCATCTCAACATCATTCACAACGAACTACACAATTAAATCGACAACAACCATTTCGTCATTCAACATCAACATCAAGTATAAATAAAATGTCTACCACACCAACAACACCATCATCATCATCATCATCCACGATAGCTGTTCGTGGTTCGTGGATACGAAATTCACGATTAGATCGTTTACGACAATTACAATTACAATTACAGAATAAAATGGATGAATTAAATCGTTTGGATATGATTGAACAACAGATTTTATCGAAAGCTATCGTCAATTATCAGCCACAAGAATTGATTAATGATACAAGTTCAATAATGACATCAACATCATTGAATTCATCTTCATCTTCATCGTCATCATCAAATATTGATCATTCGAATCAAAATCGTGGATCAATTGCATCATCATCAACATCATCATCATTGTTCAATAATAATGTAGTTAAAGCACCAAATTCATTGAAAAATTTTGTCGTCACTGGTCGTGCTTCAAGTTCATTATCATCGAATGCTGCGTCGACGATAGGTGCACAAAATTATCATCACATTGATCATCATAATATTATGGTCAACAACAATGTTGTTCAACATTATAATAGAGGTCGATCACCAATATTAGCAAATTATCCACAACAACAACAACAAAATCATCAACGTAGTAAATCGGTTGGTGTTAGTTCAAGATTCAGTATTGATCAGAATAATGATGATGTTCAATCATCGAAATTGTTAATGTCGCCATCTATAGTACGGAAATCAAACAATGTTAATGATAATCAGGTAAATCATCCATTACCAACAACAAATCAAATTAAAACAGCAACCAATCATCCAAAACAACAACAACAACAACAGGCGAGAAATCAATCATCATCATCATTGATATTTAGTTCACCATATGTAAATAAATATGATACATCTGTACAAAGTTTATTAAAATCAAATGAACGTTCAAATCTTTATTCGGTACCAAATCGACGAACATCGGTTGCATTGAATAGTCTTGATGATACTGTCATTATGAATCAATCTCGTCCATCAACTATATCATCAAATTCATCATTATCATCATCATTAATGTATCAACAGCAACCATCAAATAAATATTCTATTCGAACATCAACAGTAACATCATCGACAAATTCATTAACATATTCAACAATATCGTATCATTTGGCAAATAATCAAACATTACGTTCACGTAATAATAGTTTATCAACAATAAATGATAATGATAGAAAACTTATTGAATCAAATGTTGATGATAATATATCGATGACAATTAATAATAATAATAATGATATTGAAACACGATCAACATTATCAAATTATCGTAATATTGATGAAAAAAATCTTGCCGATTATAAGTCATTTTTATTGTCACGTCGTAATAGTTTTGGATCGAATCGATCATTATCATCATCAGCAGCATCATCATCTACATCATCAACGACAACATCAAAATCATCGACAAAATCTACATCAATTAAACAAATGGATAATAATCGTATTATACAACCGAATACTGAATCCGAATCAAATTATGTTAATTTATGTGAATCAAAAAGAATGTTGCCACCGTTATCTGGTGTTGGTAGTCATCAAATTTCAAGCAAAAATAATAATTCAGATTATGTCAATCTAATCATGTCATCTAAAAATTCTTTATCATCATCAAATGTTCAGCCACCTCCGTCATCACAACAACAGCAGCAACAACATTATCAAAATCATATATATCAGAATTCACAGAATTTAATGTCATCAAAATCATCGATACAGAGACGGCCACAACAACCGAAAACATGGTTTGAAACAGATTTAGATTATCATCACATGAAATTTGTTAAACAACAACAATCATCATCAATTTATAAACCAATTATTAAGCCATCAAATAATCTAGTCTTCAGTCATTTGACAATCAATGACAATGATTGTAATAATGATTCAACGAAGACAATTTATCATCCAATACATTTGGTGACGACAACGACCGATAATGATGATAATGATGATCATGATGAACATGAACAAAAACAAATATTTAGAAAATCACCAACACCATCACAATTATCCAATGGTACATCAACAACAACATCATCATCATCATCGTTGATGTTTAATCAACAACAACATCAACAGCATGGATCATCTTTATATTCGAATCTACCATCAAAACGATTAATATCATCATCACCATCAACAACGACAAAAATTTCAAATGGTGGAATTATTGATGGTTCATTATTATCATTAACATCATCATCATCATCATCGGCATCGGCATCATCAACATCGACAGTAAACGATGGTGAAACAATGATAACAACAACATTATCATGTCCACCACCAGTACAAGCATTATCACCAATTTGTACTGTTGCATTTATACCATCCGAACAACAACAGGATACAACAATAACAACAATAGCATCGACTATTTCAACAACAACAACAACGACAACATCAACAACAAATGAAGTACCAATAGCATCATGTAAAGGTAATATTGTTGAAGTTGATGTTGTTACTGTTGGACATTTTCAACCGGGTTATGAAGAAACAAAACCATTTACAATGTCAGATTTTTATAAATATAGTCAACGTTATCGTCAATCACAGCTTCAACAACAACAACAACAACAGAATTTATCATCATCAAAAATAAATGAACAACAACAAATGACAACAATAACCAATGGTCAATCAACATTGATGATAAATAACACGGAAAATTCTAATCAATCATTAATCAATAATAATAATAACGATAATGATAATAATAACAATAATGTAACAACAACAACAACAATGGTTTATACATGATTCTCTAATTTTCCTTTTTTTAATATTCAAAATAAATAAAAAAATTTCAAAATAAACATTTCTTGTCCATTTTTTCCCATATCCTTAAATCACGGGATTTTTTCTGTTGTTTAATTTATTTACGATTTCTGTGTGTGTATGTTGTTCCACACAAATCGATTGATTGATTAATTGATTTATGATCATTATCAATGGGTGATGGATAATGATAACCTTTTGTTGTTGAAATTTCATTTTTTTTGTCTGTTGGGATTATGTATCGAAAAATTTTCATCTGTAAATCTAATTCAATTTAATCTAATATCGATAAATTTTTTTCACTTAAATAATTTATCCAAAATCTATCTAGTAATTGATTCTGGATGGGGGGAAAAAAATTTGTCATTGAGATATTAATCGGAAAAAAAGAAAGATAAATTCATCAATTAAATATATTGGCGGTCATCAATGATGATGATTATCATTAAAAACTTCGAACAACAACAGTAGAAATTTTCATTTTATTTTGCTGATGTTGATGATGATGATGGAAGGACATCCAGGTACATTTGACATTCGTTATTTTTTCATGTATACATCATTATCTCATTATCATACAGTGTGTTTGGACATTATTTTACTACCACAACAGCAAAAAAAAAAAAAAAAAAAAAACAAAAACCATCGCCACTTGTTGATTTATGAGTATATGTGTTTGTGGAGATTTTACCACTACCATTTTTGAAAACCATAACCAAAACCAAGCTTATTCCGTTTACGCTTTTTGTGTGTGATGATGATGAAATTAGATTTTATTTTTTGTTAATCAAAAATTTTAAAATTTCATCGATTCATTTCCACAGAAACAAAACAAAAAAAAAACTATAATCATGATTTAAACCGCATTTTTTTGCAACCAAAATAAAACAGTAAAAAAAATAAAGAATCAGGATGATTTAACAGCTAGCAGCCGTAGTTTTATCTTTAAAGATTCTAGATTTTTTTTTCAATTTCTGACTTATCAATTCTGAATATCGTATAATAACTTTGATAATAATGAATGAATGGGAAATTTCATCTGATCATCATTAAATATTTAAATACAGCAAAATAAATGAAAAAAAAAACAGAAAGTTTCTATTTATTTTTTTTTTGTCAAGGATATTTAAACGCAACAACCACTACCATCTTCATCATCATCATCATCAACATCGAAATGATGGCCATCTCGAATAATCAGAAATCGCATGGCAGCCGCTGCTACGACGACGAAGACGACGAAAACATCATTGGATGATGATGATGATGATGATGGCGACAAAATGGTAAAAAACGAAAATCAAATTTTAACCAAAACAAACAAACAAAAACTGATCATTATTTATGTGAAATTATCGATCGTTCAATGATCATCATTGCATTATAATGAGAAAGTGAAATGAAGAAGAAGAAGAAGAAAAAAATCCCGAATCCAAAGAACAAGAAAAAAACCAATCGAATCGAAATTGTTAATTTTTTTTATTATTATATTAAATTGATTGAAATTCTCTCTCTCAATTCACTTTCACTTGTTGTTTGTTCACTATACAACTTCATCGAAATATATTTTCATTCACGTATCGTGAAAGGAAATATATTTAATAATAATAATAATAAAATTTACTTTTACTTTTACTTTTACTATTCTCATCATCATTAACATCATTTTTTTTGTTGTTTTCATTATCAATCAATGTTGTTTCAATGGTTTTTCTTCTCTCCAAATATCTTTACTTTTATTAATCGTTTTTTGTTTTTGTTTGGAAATTTGCAATGATGTTAATAATAAACAATATTCTATGTTCATGTTGAATACGTTGTTGTTGTTGTTGTTTTTTTTCTTATGATTCGTGCAAGATGAGAAAATTGTCATTTTATTTGATTCCTTAGAATCAATTTTTCTTGAATTTCATCATCCAATGCTTTTGGTAAGTTTTTATTTTCTGTTTGTTTGTTTGTATTTTAGAAAAATTCTCTACATTATCATCATTCAACAACAGTATTGTATCAAAGATTAAGAACAAAGTGATATAAATCAATCAATCAAACATTGCTGTTGTTTCTCACCCACCATAACAACCAATTTTGATAATTAAACCAAAAATGAGTGAAATTTCTTAGATGTTAAGCAAAATTCTTTTTTAAAACTTTTTGTTTGTCTCAATTTGTCTGGACAACAACAACAACAACAACAATCTAAAAATTATGAATCCTTTGTTACCTGATCAATATTTTTTTTTTCTCTCTCTCTATTTACTTTTTTCAATTTATTTGATTGATTGATTGTCTTGTTGTTGTTGTTTGCTTTAAATAACAAATCGATTAACATTTAAACAACAGCAACAGGTAACAATTCAATCTTTCAAACAAATAAACAAAGTTTGACATCTTTATCAACAAAGATGACATTCTAAATAAGAATTGTTTGTTTGTTTTTTAGTTCTCAATAATCCAACAAACCAACGATTCATATCAATATCGGGATCAAACAATTATAAAAACCGTAACATAGAAACAGCAACAGCAATCGACAATCGACAATCGACAAAGCAAACAACAAAAAATTATTCAAAAACCGAAAAAAAAGAATTTCATCATCATCATCATCATCATTATCATCAAAATGTGCAACAAGTGTCATTCATTCATATTTCGAAATATAAAATTCATCATCATCATCTGTTGCTGCTGCTGCTGCTGTTGCAAATTTTACAGCCATCAAAATTGGTTTTTGGTTTGAAACAAATATATGAACACACCAACCAACCAACCAACCAGCCAACAAGTTTTTTCCCATTGTGTTATCATCAATTTCTTTTTTTTCATTTAGTTTACCAGCAACAATATTTATTGCTGCTGCTGTGTGTGTGTGTGTATGGATGATTGATAATATCACCGCTATGTGTTCATAAATATTATTTCAAAAAAAATGAAATAATTTTTTTTTTCGTTTTTCAATTTCCCACACACACACAGACACAGACACACTACTGTTTTTTCCTTCAAATCTAGAATAATAATATTATCCAATCGAAAAAAAACAATGATAAAAAAAATGTTTGTCAAACTGAAAAAAAATTGATTTGATGGTGCGTCTTCCTAACATTTTCATTTTCATTTTCATTGAATGTTTTGATGATTTTCATTTTCACCGGATGATTCTCTATATCGTTTTTTTTTGATTCACTTGTTGCTCTATATGCTTGATGATTATGATGATAATATTTTGGTTTTTGTTTTCTCTACTATTCAACTCACCCAACAGTGTTCAATCATATTTTATCATTTTATGATTGATTGATTGATTTGATTCAATCAAAAATTTTCTTCTTAAATTTCATTTATCCATGTTTATCATTTAAATTTATTCATTTTTATCACAATTAGATTTGATAATTTTCTTCGTTTTTATTTTCTTTCTTTTTTCACACACACAGTATCTTTCATTTTGTGCAATTCATGTGGAATGTTGAAAAACTTTTCTTTTTTGTGGCTAAAAAAATCATCATCATCTAGTCGCCGATTGTTGATGAAATTTTTCAGAATTTAAAAATTGATTGAAAAAAATCAACAATAACAAACATCATCATGTTTGATAAACATCATTGATAACATTCATATGAATGACGACAAATTTAAATTTTTTTGTTTTAAACAAATTCTACTAAATTTTCCAAAGAAAAACAAACCAATAAAAAAAAATAACGATGTGTGAAAATACAACATTCTTACAGGTGGGCGATATGATATCGCTTTATGCTGAAGGAAATGTTTGCGGTTTTCTTTCAACACTTGGGTAAGTTTCCGGACAAATCATCGAATAAAACAAAACAATTTCTTGGAAAATTTTTTCAGCTAACAATATTTTTTTTTTTTTTAAAAAGGGAAATTTTTCTATTTCGCCTCAAATACACGAACGTACACATACATCATTCATTTCATTTCATTCATAGCTAATCGATTAAATATCTGAATCGATAATGATGATGATTAAAATTCTTTAATTAGCAAAAGAAATTATTATCAATTATTAATGAATCGCTTAGCAAACCAAAAAAAAACAAATCACACAAATCTCTTTTTTTTTCTTTTCATATTCAAAAGAATTTAAATGTTAAAGATAAACATTTTGTTGAAGAATTTAGTTATGGATGAATGAATTGACATTTCAAACAGTTTTTTGCCAATATTATGGATCATTAAAAATTTTTCATTTCTTTTTCTCTTCTAATAACTAAGTTTGGTTGATGATCGTTGTGTTATACAGCCTGATGCTGGTAATCCATTATCGCCACCGAAAAAATTTCGTGATTGTCTATTCAAATTATGTCCAATGAATCGTTATTCTGCACAGAAACAATTTCTAAAAGCAGCTAAACAATCGGCAACTAGTGCTAGTGATGCTGTATTATTGAAAAAATTACATGTAATTATTTGATTGTTTTTTTTTTGTTTTCTTAAAAATTTCCCAACTAATTTATTAAAATGAAAATAATTTTAGCATGCTGCCGAATTGGAAAAGAAACAAAATGAAACGGAAAATCGTAAATTATTAGGAACAATCATACAATATGGTGCTGTCATACAATTATTACATTTAAAATCGAATAAATTTCTAACAGTTAATAAACGATTACCAGCTTTGTTGGAAAAAAATTCAATGCGTGTTTATCTTGATTCAAACGGTAATGAAGGTTCATGGTTTTATATTGTACCATTTTATAAATTACGTTCAACTGGTGATAATGTTGTTGTTGGTGATAAAGTTGTATTAACACCTGTAAATGCTGGACAACCATTACATGCAAGTAATTATGATTTACCCGATAATCCAGGCTGTAAAGAAGTGAATGCAATCAATTGTGATACATGTTGGAAAATTTTATTATTTCTTGATTGTAAAGAAAATATTGATGATGTATTGAAAGCATCCGATGTTGTACGATTATTTCATGCTGAACAGGAAAAATTTTTAACAATGGATGATTATAAAAATCAACATTATGTTTTTCTACGTTCAACTGGCCGTATGACAGCTACGGCTGCAACAAGTTCTAAAGCATTATGGGAAGTTGAAGTTGTACAACAGGATCCATGTCGTGGTGGTGCTGGTCATTGGAATTCATTATTTCGATTTAAACATCTTGCTACTGGACAATATTTAGCTGCTGAAACAGATGAAGATGATACATATGATTCAATGCGTTCAAAATTACAAGGAACAGGTCCAGTTTATCAATTAGTTTCAGTACCGGCTAATTATGATATAGCAAGCATTTTTGAATTAGATGCAACAACATTAACACGTAGTGATGATTTAGTACCACAAAATTCTTATGTACGTATGCGTCATGTATGTACAAATACATGGATACATTCGACAACAATACCGATCGATCGTGATGAAGAACGACCGGTAATGTCAAAAGTTGGTTGTGCACAAATACGTGAAGATAAAGAAGCATTTGCTATTGTACCCGTTTCACCTACCGAAGTTCGTGATCTTGATTTTGTTAACGATGCATGTTCAGTACTTACACAGATATCCAAAAAAATGGAAGCAAAAACTATAGCACAAAATGATAGAAAATTATTGATACAATTATTACAGGATATTATCTATTTTATTGCAAATCTTGAAAATGAACCGAATCGTGCCGGTCCATTTGAATTAACACCAACATATACGAATCGTGAACGACAAAAATTATTACGTGAACAAAATATTCTTAAACAATTATTTAAAATTCTACAGGCACCATTTATCAATTCAACCGATACAGGAACATTATTAAAAATGGATGAACTAAATGATTCTCGTAATGCATCTTATAAACAAATATTTCGTCTATGTTATCGTGTATTACGTTTATCACAACATGATTATCGTAAAAATCAAGAATATATTGCTAAATGGTTTGGTTTTATGCAAAAACAAATTGGTTATGATGTTTTAGCTGAAGATACTATAACAGCATTATTACATTCAAATCGTAAACTATTGGAACAACATATCACAGCAAATGAAATTGAAACATTCATATCATTAGTAAGAAAAAATCGTGAATCACGTTTTCTAGATTATTTATCCGATCTGTGTATATCGAAAAAAGTTGCTATACCAATTACACAGGAATTAATCTGTAAAACTGTATTAGCGTCAAAAAATTCGGATATCCTTATTCAAACACGTTTGGTGAAAACATGTGTCGAAGTAGAATTGGAAATGGAAAATAGTTGCGGCGAAATTGTACCGATCATAACGACTGAAGAGGAAGAAGAAGTGATTCTTATATGGGATAATGGTAAACAAACCAGATCGATTAGAGAATTATCATACAGTGCACGTGATGGTAATATAGAGGATCGTAATCTTCTTGAATATTATCGACATCAGCTTGATCTATTCAGTAATATGTGTTTAGATCGACAATATTTAGCTATTGATAATCTATCACCACATCTTGATATTGAATTAATACAGAAATGTATGTCCGACGAAGCATTACCATATGATCTTCGTGCCTCATTTTGTCGGCTAATGTTACATATGCATGTTGATCGTGATCCACAAGAACAAATAACACCTGTAAAATATGCAAGATTATGGTCGGAAATACCGAAAAATCTATCTATACAGGATTACGATCGTAATAAACGTGAATCTGATGTAGCAATGAAAGAAACGGTTAAACGTAAATTAAGTTCAACAATGAGCTTTGTTGAAGATTATCTTTGTAATGTTGTCAGTCATGAATGGTCATTTATGGATCGTGAACAAAATAAATTAACATATGAAGTTGTAAAATTGGCCAGAAAATTAATCTATTTTGGTTTCTACAATTTCAGTGATCTATTACGAATTACAAAAACATTATTGAATATTTTGGATGGTACTTCTGATGGTTCTGTTACAGGTGGCCAGACAGCGACATCTACTGATGATTTAAATATGAAAACAGTCAATGGTGATCATAATAATAATGCAACAGCATTGAATACAATGACTAACGGCCAATCTACATCGATTGATTTGAAAAGCGGACGTAAAGAATCGAAAAATGGTCTTGTTCGAAGAACATTAAAAAAACGTATTTCATCATTAATTCAAAGACAACAGGATGGTAATGGACTTACAATTTCAGATGAACAAATGATTAAACAATTAAATTCAATGTTAGAAAGTGAAGATGATGGAAATAATTTAGCTCAAATAGTTAAATCAAGTAATCAATCTGGATCTAATCAATCAGTGGTGATGAAGTCAACAGCGGCGACTGTTGATACATCGACAGCAAAATCATCACGAAAATCATCATTAATAAGTTTAGCCAATGATCCAATGACCACTAATGCATCAGTTGCTAATGTTACGCCTAGAACATCACCAACACGAGCAACAATAACAACAGCAACGGGCAATGTAACGGCTACTAATCGTAATAAATTACTTATGATGGATACATTAGTAATGGATACTAAATTGAAAATTATTGAAATATTGCAATTTATATTGAATGTTCGTATGGATTATCGTATCACAGGTTTATTATCGATATTCAAAAATGAAATCGATATAAGCCATCATAAAATTACATTAACGAATAATGATAATAATAATGGTGATGGTGGTGGTACTAAGACAACAATTAGCGGTACTGGTGGTGGCAATCATAATCGTGATAATCAATGGGATCATAATCACAATCAAACATCAAATGATAAGAATGATTATTCGGGACAATCATCATCAAATGTTTCGATTGGTGATCGTGGTTTAGATCTAGATCGTATCGCACAACAAGCTGAACAAATATTTGGTGATGAAATCGATTTGGATGGTGCGGGTGGATGTACATTTCTTCGTGTTCTTGTACATTTAACAATGCATGAATATCAACCATTAGTTAGTGAAGCTTTACATCTTTTATTTCGTCATTTTTCTCAACGACAAGAAGTATTACAATCATTTCGACAGGTACAGCTTCTTGTTTCAACCAATGATGTTGAAAATTATAAACAAATCAAATGTGATTTAGATCAATTTCGTTTGATTGTTGAAAAATCCGAATTATGGGTATATAAATCATCAAAAAATCTGGAAGAACATGATTTACGTTTACCATTACCACATTCATCACAACAATCACAACAATTACCATCGATTGTACTAGGTGGTGGTGTTCAAACATCATCATCACAAACAGCATTAAATAATTTGCAAAATAAAGACAATGGTGCTACATTCAATAAATCAACACCGAATTCAACATTAAAATTAAGTACTTTAGGTCATTCAATGAATGATGATTATCATCATCAATTAATATCCACATCACATCATAATCATCAAAATGTACAATCATTAAGTAATCATCATTTACAGGCGCCAACATCACAACAATCATCAACATCGATATCGTTACCGGCATCACCATCAATGTATAAACAGAATTATAATGATTCATTATATCATAATGAATCATCATTTGTTTCATCATTATCGGCTCTATTAAATCATCAACAAGAAATTCAACAACAAAATGAATGTGGTCAACATTCATGTATTAATTATGAAACAATAAAAAAAATTCTACAACGTTTGACAAAACTTTGTGTACAGGAATCAAGTGGATTAAGTCAAGAACGTAAAGCACGTAAACATGAACAAAGATTATTACGTAATATGGGTGCACATATTGTTGTATTGGAATTATTACGTATTCCATATGATAAAAAAGATATACGAATGGATGAAGTGATGAAAATGGCACATGAATTTTTACAACATTTTTGTCTTTCAAATCATCAGAATCAATCGATTCTGGAGAAACATTTAGATCTTTTTATGACACCAGGGGTAAGTTAGAACGAATGTTTTGATTTGATTTTTTTTAAATTTTTATTCCATTTAATAGATTCTTGAAGCTAAAACAATGTGCGCCATCTATAAGGATAATATTGCACTTTGTAATGAAATTAGTGAACGTGTTGTACAACATTTTGTTCATTGTATTGAAACGAATGGTCGTCATGTACAATATTTGAAATTTTTACGAACAATTGTTAAAGCCGAAGGACAAGTAGTGAGGAAATGCCAGAATTTTGTAATGCAAGAATTGATAAATGCCGGTGATGATGTATTAGTATTCTATAATGATCGATCAAGTTTTCAAACATTGGTTGAAATGATGCGTTCGGAACGTCATCAATTGGATGAAGTTGGTCCATTACATTATCATATAAATCTGGTAAAATTATTAGCTAGCTGTACGGAAGGTAAAAATGCATTTACCGAAGTAAAATGTCATTCATTATTATCATTGGATGATATATTGGTTGTTGTACAACATGAAGATTGTATACCACAGGTAAAAGAAGCATATATTGATTTTTTAGCCCATTGTTTTATTGATACCGAAATGGAAATGAAAGAAATCTATACATCAAATCATATATGGACTTTGTTGGAAAATTTTCTTATTGACATTGGTACTGTTTGTAATTCTACACATGATCGTAATCATGCAGATTTTGCATTGAATAATTATGTTACCAATTCTATAATCAATTTGATAACAATATTTTTCAATTCACCATATAGCGATCAAAGTTCAATTGTACAGGTTTGAATTATTATTGTTATTATATAATTTTATTAATTTATTTCACTTTTCTTTCTAGACTCATCAACCAGTTTTTGTAAAAACATTACAAAGTATATTTCGATTAAGTACATGTACATGGCTTACATTACCACAAAGAATCAACGTTGAAAATTGTTTACGAACATTGGTGGATATATCGAAAAATCGTGGTATTGCTATACCAAATGAATTGGAAACACAAGTGTTAAATATGTTTCAAAAACAGATGACAATATCGAAAAATTCACGTGTATGGTTATCGGCTGCACGTTCGATCGGTATGACAAACACCGCAAATGGTAATAATAATAATCGTTTTATGTTTGGATATGATTTAGCAAAATTATATCCACAATCAATGGCTTCTTCTGCTGCAAGTTCTTCAACGAATCAACGTGGCTCAAATATTAAAACAACTGATCGATCTATAATTGATGCATTTCAAGATATTGTTACATTATTGGAAGATCAATTACGACCATTAGTAATGGCCGAATTATCCGTATTGGTCGATGTATTCTATAAACCTGAAACATTATTTCCATTAAATTCAAGTGCCAAAAAAATCTGTGATAATGGTGGTTTTATCTGTAAACTAATCAAACATACAGAAAAATTAGAATTAATGGAAGAAAAAGATGAAAAACTTTGTATAAAAGTATTACAAACATTAAAAGAAATGATGCATGTTGATCCAAATTTTGATGAACGTGGTGAACAATTACGTAAAACATTATTAGATCGTTATCTGATTAAACCACAACAACAATTACAACAGCAACAAAATAAATTACTAAATCAAGCAATGAATGTGGCAAATAAAGCGTTGAACAAAAATGGTCAAATTATTTCACAAACAACAAATCATTCTGGCCTGAATGATGATAGTTTAATAACATCGACAACAACATCAACATCATCATCATCAATGTCATCATTATCGGGAACACCAATCAATTTTAAACGTAATCGTTGTAGACTAAAATCAAAACCAAAATTCAATGCATATGAATCATTAACAAATCAATCCGAATGTGATGATAATAATAAAGATGATGATAATGATGATGATGGTGAAAGTGAAATTGTTGATAATAATAGTAATAATAATCGTAAATGTGGAGATAGATCATCATCATCAACACCAACATCATTATTTTCATCATTATTTGCAACAATGTTTCCATGTGAAACACAAGAATCTAATTCAAATAATTCATCAATGATAAATGAAAAAGCTGTTGCTCATCTTTATGATACTGTTGATAGTGTACAGAATCGTTTGATGGCATCAAAAAATTTACGTCGTAATAAAATGAATCGTCCACAAACAATATTTGATCGTAAACATTATTCAAATTCTAATCAACCAGCATATGGATCATATGGTCCAGGTTCAATAATGTTATTACGTGCTGAAATGACATTACATGAAGTACAATCACATCTAGATCGTGAAGGTGCCAGTAATTTAGTTGTTGAATTAATTATGTCAAATCCAAGTTATTCAATATTTGTTGAATCAGTTGAATTAGGTATCGCTTTGCTTGAAGGTGGTAATCCAGTCATACAGAAATCTATTTATCAAAAATTAATACAACAAAATAATTCGGAAAAATTTTTCAAAGTTTTTTATGATAAAATGAAATTTGCTCAACAAGAAATTAAATCTACAATAAGTGTTAATTCAAGTGAATTTTATAAAAATTCTGCCCTAAATGATGATAGTATTTCGACACCAATGTTGATCGGTCAGATTGAAGAATGTGCCGGTTTTGATCAGCTTGTACCACCACCATCGATTGCATTTACTCGTAAACGTTCATCAACATCTGTTAATAATAGTAATAAATTTTTTCAAAATTCTTCAAATAAAATAATAAAATTACCATCGGAAATTGCTGTTATGAGACAGATTCTTCGTTTTCTACAACTTTTGTGTGAAAATCATAATCTTCAATTACAGAATTTTCTACGTAATCAACATCAAAAAGCAAATTTTAATCTTGTTTCAGAAACATTAATCTTTTTGGATCGTATTTGTGGTTCAACAACCGGTGGTCTTGGATTACTTGGTCTTTATATTAATGAATCGAATGTAGCATTGGTTAATCAAACATTAGAAACATTGACCGAATATTGTCAAGGTCCTTGTCATGAGAATCAGAATTGTATTGCAATGCATGAATCAAATGGAATTGATATAATTATTGCATTATTATTAAATGATATTAATCCATTGGGTAAAAAACGTGTCGATCTTGTATTAGAATTGAAGAATAATGCATCCAAATTATTGCTTGCCATTATGGAAAGTCGTGCCGATTCAGAAAATGCTGAACGTATTCTTTATAATATGAGTCCAAAACAATTATTGGAAGTTGCTTGTAATGCATTTCATAAAAAAGTTGTTTTACCGCCACAAACAAATATTCAAATACAGGAACCTGATCCAGATTCACCAACAATAAATCCAGATATTGGTGATCTACTTGGACCAGGATCAACAATATTGGCTACAAGCGGTATTGATTCTCCACGAAGACGTCCAAGTATTGTACAAATGTCATTACCATCAAGAAATCCAATAAATCTAGTCGATCCAAAAGAAGTTGGTCATAATATTTATATACTTTGTCATCAGCTAGCACAACATAATAAAGAATTGGCAGATATTTTGAAGAATTCATTACGTGGCTCTGATCAACTATTGATGATGAATAATGAAATGAGAGATGCATTAAATTATTATCAATCACATACAGCACAGATTGAGGTACTTACCATGTATAATTTGAATGATTTTTTTAAATATAACTAATTGAAAATTCAAATCTAGATTGTGCGTATCGATCGTACAATGGAACAGATTGTATTTCCAGTACCACAGATTTGTGAATTTCTAACAGATGAATCTAAAATGAAAATCTATTATCAATCCGAACGTGATGAACAAGGTAGTAAAGTATTTGATTTTTTCGAACGATCAGAAGATTTATTCAATGAAATGAAATGGCAAAAACGTCTTAGAGGTATTAATCAATATTTTTTTTATATATAGAAAATCTTATAATTTGATTATGATTAAAAATTATTATTAGATCAACCATTTTTATATTGGGTATCACGTCATATGACATTATGGAATTCATTTTCATTTAATTTGGCTGTTGTTATCAATCTGATTGTTGCATTAATGTATCCGTTTCCTGATAAAACTGAAATTGATCATCGAATATCGGCAATGTTATGGGCAATATTATTCATATCGATAGCATCGGTATTTTCATTCCCAGGAAAATATTGTTTCTATGTAATGGTCTCATCGACAATATTACGTTTGATTTATTCGATCGGTATACAACCAACATTATGGCTATTAGGATTGATTAATGTATTCATTAAAGCAATACATATGATTAGTATAATGGGAAATAATGGAACATTTAATAAGAAATGGGATAAAATTCTTACCAATAAAGAATTTCTATATCAAATTGTTTACCTTTGTTTCTGTATTATTGGTCTTAGTGGTCATTCATTATTCTATTCAGTTTTGGTATGTTTGCTTCAAAGAAGATAGATTTGATATTAATTAACAATTTTATTCTGTTATAGTTATTAAACGTTGTTTATCAAGAGGAAACATTACGCAATGTAATACGATCAGTAACACGTAATGGACGTTCAATCATATTGACAGCATTATTAGCCTTGATACTTGTCTATCTATTCTCTATAATTGGCTATCTATTTTTTCGTGATGATTTTCTACTGGAAGTTGATGTTGTCACAACGAATCCACCATTACAAATGGCGAATGAGAAATTTTTGCAACAGATGAATCATTCGGAATCAGCAAATCATCATTATCGAAAACAAAATTTTTCCAATCAACGACAATTCAATGGTGTATTGTACAATATTTATCAGATGAATAATGAATCATTTCTTTTTAATCGTTATAACAATAATTCTCATAGAAAATGGGAATATTGTTTGAATGATGATGTTAATCAAACTAAAGATTGTGTCGCTGATGTTGTCTATCGACAAAATGATGGAAACAATATGCCAATGGAAATGGATTCTAATCATATCATTGAGGATGATGGCGATGATGATCATACGGTTAAAGAACGTGCTTGTGATTCATTATTAATGTGTATTATAACTACTGTAAATCATGGCTTAAGAAATGGTGGCGGTATTGGTGATGTATTACGTTCACCAAGTTCGAATGAATCATTGTTTGTTGCACGTGTTATCTATGATCTGTTATTCTTTTTCATTGTTATTATTATTATTTTGAATCTTATTTTTGGTGTCATTATTGATACATTTGCTGATTTACGTTCGGAAAAACAACAGAAAGAAGAGATTCTTCGTAATACATGTTTTATATGCGGTATGTGTATTGATTGATTGATTGATCAATGACTGATTTTTTTTTGGAATAGGCCTTGAACGTTCAGCATTTGATAATCGAAGCGTATCATTTGAAGAACATATCTATTGTGAACATAATATGTGGCATTATCTTTATTTTATTGTACTTGTACGTGTAAAAGATCCAACAGAATTTACTGGACCAGAAAGTTATGTAGCGCTTATGATAAAAGAACGTAATCTAGATTGGTTTCCACGTATGCGTGCAATGTCATTAGCAGCTGATGACGGTGATAATGAACAAAATGAGCTACGTACATTACAATCACAATTAGAATTGACACATAAACAAATGGCTATATTAAGTCGTCAATTGAATGAATTAAAAGAACAGGTTTGTCCATTATTTTGCCATTTAAAAAAAAATACATGAATTGATTCTAATTGTTGAATTTATTTTTATATGAATCTAGATGATGGAACAACGTAAACAACAACATCGTAAAGGATTATTTGGTACAAGTTTAACAATGACAACTGTACCAACACCGGCTACATCAACAATGACAACAACAGTAGCAGCAGCAGCAGCGACAGCAGCAACATCAACACCGATGGCAAGCTATATTCATGATAATCAATCAATTTTACCAAATATTATCAATCATGCTACCAATCATGGAACAATGATAAACACACCATTTCAAATCGGTTTAGATAAATAAATTAAAATCATAAATAGTTTTTATTTTATAATAATTTTTTTTAAATATTTATTTTTATAATCAATAAATTGTAATTAATTAATAATAATTTGAATTTTTTTTTAAAGTATAATATCAATATATAATAGTTTAAATGGTTAAATTAACCAAAAATGAATGTTAATGATTTTTCTTTTTCTTTTTTTTTTGCTTTATTTATACGAAAAAATCAATCAATCGATTGATCGATTGATCGAAGAAGAGGGAAAAACAATACGAAAAACTGAATTCCTTGATTCAAATAATAAATGGTACATATTATTTATATATAAATGGGAGAGGGATCCATTAATTTTTTGTATACAGAAATCATGTAAATGGAACGGATGATTTTTTTTAAATTATAAACTTTTTTCCATTGTTTTTTTATTTTACATTTAAAATTAGATGAAAAATAAAAATAAAACATATGAATGTATGCAATGTATGTATGTATGTATGTATAATTCAATGGATGGCATCGAGCAAAATGAAATCATTAAAATATCTAAATAAAAATGATAACAAATAATTGATGGCAACTTGGTAATCAATGATGATGATTATGATGATGATAATGGTTTATGTCTTGTTATTAACAAAATAAAAGAAAACAGAAAATACCTACGGAATTTAGACGGACGGGGATAAATAGCAATTAATTAATTAATTAGCAAATATTAGAATGGAAGAAATTATGATAAAAATTAATGAAATTCGGGTAATCTTTTTTTTTAAAATTTGTTTGTTTGGACATATATTGTATGAATGAATGAATGAATGATGATGATCGAGAGAAGAAAAATGGATAGAGAGAAAGAGAGAGAGAGAGAGAGAGAGAGAGAGAGAGAGAGAGAGAG